CTGTGACAAAACTGAATTTTAGTCTTTTAAATTGAGATACCTAAATAAGGGGGCGGCGAAATTTTCCTCCGCCACGGGCGGCTGACACCCACGCTACGCTACTGGTAGTATAGAAATTTGTAATAAGATACGTAATGCGGTTATAATAAAATATTGTGCGATTATTTTCATATAATTAAAATTAATATGTATTTATTTTTTAGAAAATACAAGGGAAGCGGCGCTTCCACCGCTTCCAATGACGGCACGCCACTGCATTTCTTAATCATTACCCCATATTGAGATATTAAACTAAATATACGCCAACACACACGCGGAATTTTTCCCGGCTGTTATGTATACGTAACAAGGGAAAGTACAATCGACCCCCTATAACACGGGTTCCTATAATTCGGATTCCTATATCACAGCGAAAAAATTGCGACAGTATTCGTACAAACATGCTAAGAAAACTCCTATAATTCGGTAAAACGTCATCGCCGACTCGTGTCGCGTCAGGACTGGTCGAATCTAGACCAATAGCGGATATTACACAAACCGTTGAGTTTAAACGTGCAGCGGACCTACTAAAAACCATTTATTATTTAACGTCCATAAAAATTATATTTACTGATGTCTCCAAAGTTAAGCGAATTTTTTGCAAGAAAAATAATTTATCAGGGGGCGAGCGCCATTCCATGACAAGCTCCACGACGAAAACAAGCTTAAGCAATGGCATAGTCGAACGGTGCACACTCGGTAAGTAATCCTACATTTTTTTTTTTTTTTATAGCATAGTTTATATGGATTATTCCCAAAAAGATATACATATTTTGGAAATGTTGAGTCGAATTAGTCTAGAATCGATTAATTTTATGGAAGAAACCTTTCAAACAGCCGTAGTCCGTAAACTGCATACGTGCAGGGCTGTGATTGGCTGGACTCGTAGAAAATGGATTCATAAAAATCGGAACGTATCTACCGTGTTATAGGGGGGTTGACTGTACTGAAATAGTGTCAAGTTTGATTCTCTGAGTTTTTGCAAATCTCCATGTTTCGACATTTCCTGAACCAAAAACGCCAAAAAAGTAAATTTCGTGAGTTTGTTTGTGGTTGACGAAATTTAACACGTTTGCTTGTGTACAGGGTGTATTAATGCTAACTTATTCAATTTTGGTGGATAAAGATCGAAGGAGTGAGAAGATGGAGAAGGTCGAGTCTCATCCCTCGAGTAGGATCGAACTTAATGAAGATTTTACTCATTATTCACATCTACATTTTTTTTCTTTTCTTTTTTTATAAAACACATCTCCATCCTCAAAACTACGCTTTATACCATTTTATAATAATTAAAAACATAGAGAACTTTTTAATAACAATATCTCGTAACAGGTGGCACCACACAAATTTTTATTTACTTATTATGATTAATTAAAGTTATTTTTTTAAATAAAATTTCACGATAGTCGGGAAAATTACGTAATTCGTTTTTGAATTTTTTATATTATTTCTTAATAAGTAAAATATAATTTCATTATCATAAAATAATTTATTGAAAAACTAATATTGTTTAAAAGATTAGCAGTCGAGCAAATTCAAAATTCGCGTTCTAGAATCTTCAGCCAAGCGTCATTTTTGAATTTCGTAACAGAATTCGATAGAAATTATGTCGGAAACATTAACCGAAACCACCGAATGGGGTTATTTGAAGGTAGAAAACTGGTGTCACGTCGGTATAGACACTCTTCAAGAGCAAACTTTGAAGAAATCTCTGAACACGGGCTACGAATTTAACATTCTTCTGGTTGGAAAATCGGGGTTAGGCAAGTCTACGCTGCTTAACTCTCTTTTTAAAGCTCGTGTCAGTCGTAAAAGTTGCTCGAAAGACGAAACTCAATCAGGAATCGACGGTTATGGCAAAACAACAGAAATTAAATCCGTTAGCCATCTTCTGGAGGAGAAAGGAGTTCGGTTACGTCTCACCGTTACAGACGCGCCAGGCTTTGGCGATCAGATTAACAACGAAAACTGCTGGCTCCCTATTGTAGAATACATACACGAGCAATACGAACGATATTTGGAAGAAGAAGAATGTGCAGATCGTAAGAAGACCATAGCAGATACGAGAGTTCACTGCTGCATCTACTTCGTTTCTCCCGGTCGCCGGCTGACTCCTCTAGATGTCGAATGCATGAAGAGATTGGGGAAAATCGTCAATCTCGTTCCCGTCATAGCAAAGAGTGACACCATGACGCCAGATGAGAAAATAGCCTTCAAGCAAGTTATTAGAAAAAGCTTAGAAGAGAACGGAATAGATATTTACCCCGTGAGAGATGATGAGATGATCAACGATGAAATAAGGTCCAAAATACCCTTTGCCGTAGTGGGGAGCGAGAAGGAGCACGAAATCAACGGAAATAAACTGTACGGACGGATGACTCGTTGGGGTTTCGTAGACATTGAAAACAAAGAGCATTCCGAATTTTCGCACCTCAGAGACATGCTAATAAAGACTCATATGATTGATATGATCGAGGTTACCAGATTATTTTTCTACGAAAAGTTTCGTCGAGATGCTCTTAACGCCAGAAGAACGAAAGATGTGGACGGCAAACAGGCAGTAGAGATGAAAGCTGCGGGTCGGAATATTGGCGAAAAATTAAGCTATTTTAGTAAGAAAAGATTAAGTGGAACGACCTCAAATAAGAGCATGGAAAGTGGCAGAGAGAGATCGGCCGGTGCAAACGATTCCGTTTCAATCATCGGCAAAGAAGCGGAAGGAACGGAATCTTTTATTAAAGAATCAAACACCGATGATGCTCTTTCTGACATTTCGACTAAAGTTTCTGAAAACGTGATCGACAATCGGATTAAAAAGGAAACGTTTGAAGAACGTACTTTAACTAAACAAAATTAAATTCGTTTCAAAATTTAAAATTTCTTCTTCAACACTATTTTTTCCTGTTATCGCAATTTTCATTGATATTTGAACTTAAGAAAGTTTCTAATTATTTGTCTTCAGTTTTTTTAAATTATAATATAAATACTTCAATCCTGAATTATAGAAAATATTCAAGTCAGTTTATTGTTAAATGAATAAAACTAAAAACTTCTGACAATATTGTATTAAAAATAAATTAAGCAATTCGTTTATAAATTCAAGAAATTTTAAATGAAATTTCACAATCTAAAATTTTATAAACACAAAAAAATCGAGATTTTATAAGACAATATGTTATTATTATTACATTGAAAAGCTTAAGATATGAGACAGCGCATTTTTTCGTGCATATATTGAGATTTTAAACGCATATAAATTCGACCTTACACATCACCGTATTTGCGATGAAACAAACTGAAACATGCTTATGTAAATGTATTTAATTTTACATTTTATGGGTATTTTACAATGGAAACTTTTCTGGCTTTTAGAAGACTTGTGTTGCACAAAATCTGCGAAAATCGTGAATACGCATGTTTACAGAACGATTTCAGGACAGTAACAAAACAAATCTTTTTAGTATTGTCAAACGTCGCAATTGTCATTTTATCTTTATTGGACATTTTATTGGTGGACATGTCTTTTAATAAATTCCATAACATGCGATAGAGGGCGATTTTTAGTTTTAGATATATTCTTTATATCTAGAAAATTTTTGTGATTTAATATCCGAACGAGCTAAATCAACTGAAATACGATACGCAAATAACGTCATACACTAAGCTAATACTAACATTTAGAATTATAACGTTTTGTTTCTTCGATATTTTTCATATTTACCGATCTCAAAGAACATAAAAACATAAATGACGTGCTGTGATTTATGTGTTACATGTGTACATCATTAATGTCAAAATCGTGTATCATTTACGGGTAAATCCCACTTCTCTCTGTGAAATGGGATTTACTGGACGGGTATGGCCGGGGAACGCTACGTTTCAGATCTCTTCGCCGACCAGTCCCATACCGGGCATTATGTTCGATCAGCAGACAACCCTGGTACACATTTCCAATACTCTGATAGCGGATCAATACGTCACACGAACTGTGAGGCGTACTGGTGCAGGCCGTATCCAACATGGTGTTCCAGCAAAACGCACGTCGCACGGCGAACTCTCGCCAGCTTGAATGGAATTCGTATCCTTCTCTGGCCGGCAGCCTCGCCGGATCTCTCTCCCGTCGAACACCTGTGGTATCTCGTTCTACAAGAGATACACAGGGAACCAACTCCACAAATCTACTCGATAAGCGTGCCGCGGTGGATGTAGCTTGGCAAGGGAATCAGTGTCTCTCCGTATAGCAGCTTGTATAGCTTCTCGTCGAGGCCAAATTCGTTACTGAACAAACAGTTGTCTGTCGCATATCTTTGCTGTTTTAATCATTTGCATATGTCTCTCACCGCTACCGGTTTTGCAACGTTCATATGGCTACGCGCAGTTCTTCGTAGTGTCGCGATTTCACTTTTGAGGAGTGTATTAAAATGACGTACTGAAAAGAACAATGAGATAAAAACAAAGTGAATAATTTCGAACGATGCCGTTTGGGGCAGCGCATCGAAGATCTCTAATTTTCTATCAGTTCTGTGCGAAGTTATTTAATCCGTGACTATAAAAGTAATCAGTAAATGGATGGTCGTAGCGGCTAAGGCGTCATCCTGCCGCTCTAGAGACCCAGAATTGAATCCGGGCGGAGAATCCCAAGATTTTTTTCACGAGTGGTCTGTCTCGGACGCGTCGTGCTTCCGTTTCTCACTACTCGGCCGCTCTATTGTGGATCTGGCTAACCCATAAAGGTTATGTTTTCAAAAGATCCTCATAGCGCCTATAAGGCGGAAAGATCAAAAGAAAAAATATATATATTTTGAAATTTGATAAAACTTTATAAATTCATCTGCAGAGAATATAAATACAAAATATTAAATGCAAATAATATTATTTGTATTTAAAAAGTATTTTTTGAACAAGTAATAACTGGGCTATTTTTTGGCGAATAAACTAAATTTTTTTTTATATTACTATAAATAATATTGGCGGGAAACTTGTTTCGTGTCGAGTAGGAAAGTAGCAAAGTGTTTGTTTTAAAAATGGCATTAAGAAGGGACGATGCGAAAGAAAATATAACTTATGACATTAGTCTTCTTCCCGAATTACTTCCAGTATATTATTGTCGTCTTTTCCCTTATGATCTATTCTATAAATGGATTTGCCATAAAAATGGTAAGTTTATTTTAATTTATTCATTAACCTTTTTTGTTTTTACCTTACAGAAAAGTGTTTTATTTCGTTATAGTTACTCTGTTTCCAAATAGGGAATTTTCTTTTACTCTTAAAGATGACGTATATTTACGTTTTCAATCATTTAAAGATCAAGAACAGTTAGAGAAGGAAATTAAATCGAAAAATCCATACAAAATTGATATTGGAGCCATTTATTCTTCTGAGGTATGTATAATTAGACTTATTTATATATGCTGTTATGTGAAATAGTATATAAATGGGTTTAAAAATATTCTATGTATCATTATAAGCTTGTAATAATTGAAGATCTTGGGGCAAGAGTGGGTTAATTCAATTAAAGCTGTGGTTGCACCATGCGATTTCCAGCTGTGCAGGTGACCGCAACTGCAACAAGCGCGAGTCGTGCACGTCTTCTTGTGGTCATGCATTGTTTGCTGGCGTTGCGCCTTGAAAACACAAGACCTTATAATAAACCAATAAAATTACAGCAGCTTGTTTTTGACTACTTTCGTGAGTTTACCGACAGTTTACGTTCTACTTCAGAGTATTCACAGAATTTTAGCCAGTTTTCTCATTAAAATGGCAAGCAGTTCCTTTTCTGCAATGAATAAAAGAAAAAAGGCAATCATTTTGGTGGAGAGAATACATGAAGAGATAAATTCTTTGATAAAATGAAGAATTAAAATTCCACAGGTATTTGTGAGCCTGAATAAGCTCGATCAATCTCGATTCTGTGAAAGTATCAATGCTCTTACTTTCCACCATGATGATGAACTATTTTCAATGTTGCTACCGTATGATGTGGCACAAAGGCATTTGCTGATTGGATGCGCACTTGCAATCACTGTGAATAGAACAAACTTTTTGTTTCTAGTCATGGTTGCAGTTGCACCAGTTTTCGAAGGGGGTTTACTAGTTAACAAGAACAGCTGTCATGGTTGCAGTTGGCTGCACCTTGCGCAAGGTGTGACAACGGCTTAACAGAAACATGTTGAATTTCTACATTGCAGATGATTTCCAGATGCAGGACTCATAATTTCTAGACTGGTCTGTAAATATTTAATATAATTAATCAGTCTTGTCCTGCCCTAAATACAGGGCAAATTTGGAACTTTATAGAATAATTTTCCCAGAAAATTTATAAATGAGTTAACATGTTCTTACCCTGAAGTCTTCAATTATAAAACACTGTACAGTGGGTGATCAGTTAACGAACAAATCGGATAATGAACACTTTCGCGAAAGATTTTTATGATCGGACAACGAACACATGTTCGGATAACAGACACTTCACTGAATAAACATAAAAAAAGAAGCGACGAAAACAGCAAATACTGATTGATTTCCCCTTGTCTTCAAGCAACAATTCGAAACTTTTTGGAGCATTGAAGAAGTTGACATCGACGCTCAACTCGGAATATACTAATCAGATAGTATTCCTCCGAACTTTGAAACTCTCCCTTGTAATTCCAGCCTTTTATTTTTCTGATAGAAACAATTCTTTTATAGTATTCACAAGATGTCTGATGTTGCTGGGCAGTATGGCTTGAACAAATCTACAGTAGGGCACAGTTCAATTTTATCTAAGAAAGATACAGTATAATCAAGAAGATTCAAGCAGCTAAAGGAGTAACAAAAATCACTTCTGAGAAATAAAGAACATTAAAGAGTTCATAATAGAACCTGAAACGAATCTGACGACAGAAGAACGCCAAGAACTCTTGAATAAAGAACACCAAGAAACTTGGCGAGTTATGTTTTATTATGAAAAAGAGGATTGATGCCGATATCTGCTATTAATTAAAGATCTTTTGAAGAAGTGGGGGATGTCAGATCAACGGTCTTAGAATGGCGTAAAACCAGGTTGAGATTAATAAGCTTGGGGATCTCTACAATTACAATGCTATTACTGTAATTACTTCTGAAAATCCCGAAGAAGAGAGAAAAGCAATCGACATTAAACAGATTCTTTAACCCCCACAAACAAAAAAAAACATAACTAATAAAAATGCAAGACTGCGTATATATGTATTTATATTATTACATATAAATGAACATAGTAAGAAAGTACATATTTTTTTAATTTTTGGGGATCTCCAGAACGAATTAATCAAATTTCCATGCAAATCTATGGTAAATTGATAATCGGTTAACGAACAATTCGGATAGCGAACAAAGTCTTGGAACGGATTATGTTCGTTAACCGATCACTCACTGTATTTGAAATTATATTTTGTAAATATTTTTGTTTTGTTGACTTCTCGACATTAAAAATATTTTTTATAGCTCTTAGTTAAATTTCACATTAACTCAAATGTGTGTAGTTTTGTTTTTTCTAAATAGTTCAATTCAATATTCATAAATTAATTTGTTATGATAATAAATATCGTTTGTTAGTATATCAATTAGCCTTTAATCACTTTTTATATATAATACAATATGCTTTTTACAATTACATAGTACATAATTTTATTGAAGGGTTATCATACAATTGAAACTATTATTGCCTTATATTACGGTTACCATATGTCCATATTTAATATGGACAGTCTGTACTTTAAAGCAGTGGTCCCCAACCCCCGGGCCGCGGACCGGTACCGGTCCGTGGATCAAATGGGACCGGGCCGCCCAAGGAACATTAAATTATTTCCGTTTTATTTACTATGGTGTATTTCTCTCGGAACAACGAAATAAACTGGACATAAGAAACACGCTTCGGGTGTTATTGTCTCCTACTTCCTCCAGATGGAACTGTCGCGTTACAAAGAAACGTGCTCAGGGTTCTCATTGATTTAGCGTTCTAGTGAGTTAAAATGTTAAATCACATTAAATTTATTTTTTGGTGTAACTGTATTTTGAAGGCATGTTTAAATACAATTAAATTAAATCAATCTAAAATATAAAAAATCAACGTTCCCCCTCAGTGGGCCGCGTAAAATTATCAAACGTTGACCGGTCCGTGGAGATAAAAAGGTTGGGGACCGCTGCTTTAAAGGCTCTGTTCATGTCTATGCCATACTTAGAAAAAATAAACAAAATGTCCGTACTTTTCAACTAATCATGCAGTTAATAGTTAAATCGTAACCACTTAGATTTAAATCTGACAAAAGGTACTAAATTTTTGATAATTCTTGTATTATTGTATTTGCTGGTTAGGGGGTAACATTGTATAAACAAATGTAACAGCTCTGTTGCTTCGAGAACATGTGCACATTTATTATAATGGTATTTTAAATTTAATAGTACTTGTTACCTAAGTTGTAAAATAGTTTTCTTATATTTAAAATTGTTTTTTGTGTCCCAAAGGAAAGTGTAAATTGAAACTTTATATTATATGCTTACATTTACTAGATTGAAAATATGAATAAATTCCCTTTTATTTTGCCTTCAACTATTATGGTGACTCTACTTATATTTTTCTTGAAATGCATTTAGGCCCCTGGTGTAATTGTAAAAAGTATATTGTATAACATTTGTTAGCATATTGAAAGAATCATTTATTTGTTTGTAAGTTCTATAGAGTATATACTTTTAAAACATGATAACAAAAATATAATTTAAAAACAATTTATGAAAACTTATAATTGTACATTTTGGATTTTATCAAATTTTGTTAACCCTTTCATTCACAGTATACTATATTTGTTACACAACTTTGAGTTGCTTTGTAATAAATTGGTTTGGACAGAACATTATTTTGTCACTATTTGTTGTTTCTAGTAGAAAGCTTTTCTTAGACCCAATTGTGTCATCTGATATCAAGAAAATGTTGGTTTGGAATGTTCTTCAAAGATGAAGAACTTGCTAGGAATTTTCCATGTAAGTCAAAACAGTTTTTTCTGTTTCTGTCATTAAAACTTATTTCAGAATTTTAATTGATATAATTAGGTTGTACAGAGATTATATTTAGTTAGGTAGTTGTTAATACAATAATAGCTGATATTTGCATAAAATATTTTTCCAAACATTGGTGTACTTTTTACTTTTCTAGCTGTTATATAGAGTGATCAAAAAGTCTGCATAAATCAGTTAATAAAGTCACCAAATGTCCTTTAAGATGCAAAAGCATGTTTCAGAACACTGTCTATACATGAACTACATACATAATAAGAAAGTAAAAAGCAGTTAACACTAAACATAAGGTAATGAATAACAATATTAACAAGATAAAGAAAATTTAAAACATAAAGGTCTGCATACAAATACAAACTGTTTCGAAAAAACTTAACCAAATTCATACTAGTATTTTGGAGCAAATGCTTTTTGTCTAATAACTTAAAATGTTTTCTCATTGATGAAACTAATTTTGAAGTGACTTCTCTTATTTTATATCATTATTCTTGCAAGGCAGCATTTAGTGTAACTTTAGATGTAATATTATGGTTTTGTATTCATCATTTTGATAAATCCCACAAGTGTTCTATGAGGTTAAGATCAGATGATTGAGGAGTTTAAGCAGTTGTCTTTGAGCATTAATAAAGTAATTATTTTTGCAGAACATGTGAAGAATGCTTGGGATCATTGTCTTGTTGGAATACGAAGTTATTCTCTAATCCCAATTTCTGTGCACTACTATTTAAATTTTGTTTTAAAATATTTAAATAATCATATCTATTCATTGTTCTATTGATGAATTTTAATGTTCTAACTTCACCAGCTCCATATACCCCATACCATCACATTATCACCCCCATATTTAACAGTGGTACTTGAACTCTTTGCTTGAAATTCTGTGTTGGGCTTTTGCCACATGTTCTCTTCAGACAGAGCCAAATATATTAAGTTTACTTCACCACTAAATAACACACACTTTTAAAAGTCTTAAATTTTCTCTACATATTCAAGCAAATTCTAAACACTTCTTTCTATTGACTTTAGAAATCAATAGTTTCTGTCTGGCAGTGCATTCATGATAATTTGCACTTTTTAAAACATTGTGTGTTGTTTCTGCACTAACCTTTTTATTTTCAGATGTGGTTTTTTGCTGCTATTTTTATTACATTTACTTTTGGGTTTATTTTTACTTCCTTTATAATTTTTTGTTCTTGTAAGTATGAATATTTTTGGTCTTCCTGATCTAGACTTTGAGAGTAGATTCTTGTTGGTTTAAAGTTATCAATTACCCTTCAAATGCTGGAATGGACTTTTTCAATAACATTTTCTATCTCATAGTTTTTCCTTTATTACAAAGTTTAATTATTAATTGATACATATTTTGTGACAATTTACATCCCGATCTCAAAGTATCCATATTTTCTTTACATGACATTGTATTTTAACAAAAACAAGAAACAGTTACATAACTGATCTAATTTGTAACACACAACAACTAGTAATGGATAAATTTGAACTTTCAGAGGTATTTTATGGTGTGAGTTTGAAAAAGAATCTACTTGTATGCAGACTTATTTGGCATGCATTTTCTAAGCAAATTTGTTTTATATGTATATAAAATGCTCATTGTTTTAAAAAGTTTATATATTTATAAACAATATATACAATCTATTAAACAAAAAATGTGGAAGTAACAAATAATAACAAGGTTTTCTGAGACATTTTAAAAATTATTAACTGCTATATTCAGACTTTTTTAAGTCACTCTATATATCACAGGAAAACATTAGAATTATGTCAAATTTGACCATTTGGGTTTTTTGCAAATCTCCATGTTTTGAAACCTCCTGAACCTATAAAAAGTAAAAAAAGGAATGATAAAAATTCCATGGATGCATGTGTGCTTGTTGCCATCTATTTTGTTTAATATCTCAGGAAAGGATAAAGAGTAAGAAATGAAATTTGGCACAGTAACTTGTATATAAGGGATACTGATATTAAAGTTTGAGTGAATGGAGAGATAGAGGGTGTTATGTCATATCTCAGATAAGTTGGACTTAATGAAAATTTTATTTGTTATTAGCATTTAATTTTTTAAAAACTCATTTCTGCCCTCAAAATTAGGCCTTTTACAATTTGTTTTATTTTGTAAGAAAGTAGATATCATTTTTATTTTAAAAAGCATTATATTGTTATTTTTAATTCCCTCTTTTAATAGGTAGTTCCATAAAAGTGTGATTAGGAATGAAAAAGATATCTCAAGGATAAAGATGTAGAAGCATTATTGAATAGTTTGGAAAATGGTGATATTTCATATTATGAAAGAGAACATTTTGATGATGATTGCAAATTTTTTGTTTCATCTCCTGCTAATATTGATGAATCCAAAAGCTCAGATGAGGATGCTTTACTTTTTAGTACCAGAAATAGTGTAAAAAATGTTATGAAAAAAGTCAAGATTGATTGATTTTCAGTGGAAAAGGAAAACTTTTAGAAAAGAGAAAAGGCAATGAAAAGAAACCATAGAAGTTTTAGATTCTCAAGTGCTACCTACTCCCTTTTCACTGTTTTGTTCATACTACAATGATGTGTTTTTTTGAACTGATTGCAAACAGAACAAATGAGTATTCAATGCAGACAAATGGCTTGGAATTGAACACTTTTGAATGTGAAGTAAGGAAACTCTTTCTAGTCCATCTTATAATGGGAATTCTGAAGTTTCCACAATACTGAATGAATTGGCAAAGAGCATCAGATTATCCAGCATTGCTGATAACATTTCTTTCAATAGATTTTCCAGCTTGCAAACCAACCTTTATCTTGTCAACAATGTTACTAAAAATAACTCACAAAATGATGGATTTTGGAAAGTTAGGCCAATTATGGATTGAAGGTAATTTGATTTAGAAGAATGTCTTTGCATTGATGAACAAATGATAACATGTAAAGGAAAATTGAATGTCTAGCAATATGTCAAAAATAAACCATCAAAATGGGTAATCGTGGTGTTCCTTTTTTGTAAAAAATCTGGTATTAAATATCATGCTATAGATTATCAAGGGAGCACTACAAAGATTAATAAACAGTTACAAACAAATTTTGTATTTGGTGCATTGCACGCTTTATGTTTTGATTATTAAATTTACATTAATTTTTAAGTTTTATCTAAATTAGAATAAATTTTATTGAATCTTTGCATTAACAAACTTAAATATTTAGAAAAATGAAATTTATGAAACAGAAAAACTTGATAATTTGCAGCCAAAAAACTACCGCACTGCAGCCAATTTTTTAGCAGTGGAAAAAGAATTAGTTTTTGATATTGATATGACTGATTATGATGATGTTCGAACATGCTGCACTGGTGCTGATATATGTGCAAGATGCTGGCCATTTATGACGATAGCTATGAAGATATTATCAAAAATATTAAGTGGTAAGTTCTAAACTGAAGAAGAAAATTTTCATATTTTTAACATATTTAAATTTTGTCAAATACAGATGATTTTGGATTGTATCATCACTTATGGGTATATTCTGGAAGAAGAGGTGTTCACTGCTGGGTCTGTGATGATAGTGCTCAATCACTTCCTTCTAAAGCTCGTTCTGTTATAGTAGAATATTTGGCAGTTGTAAAGGTATTTTATGGTATATTATTTTTGAATAATAAGCTTCAAATGACTTCTCATGAAAAACAATAAACAGTAAATTTACAAAAAAGAATAATAAAAATGAATACAAATAAAATACATGTAATATATAGTAATAAAGAAATCTTTAATAATTATTCCTTAATTTAATAATACACAGTGTATATCAATTTTTTTATTCATATTTTTAATTAATTTAATTTAAAATTTATGCTCTCCACTTCAAATTAGTACTGTAGTGTCTTGCTGCCCCTATACACCATACTTTTCCTCTAACAATAGAGTTGTGCCAGTGATCTATATAACATCTTTCAGAGGAAAATTTTTTAATTGAAATTGATTTGGTTTGCATGCCCCTAAAATTTCCATATCAGGTCTTGTCTTTCATCTATCTAACTCTGTTCTCAAGATTAAGGAAAGACACAGATGACAGTGGGAATTTACAGGTCTACAATTTTTTCAAAATGCAGCCCAATAATACAGTGTGTGTGTGTGTGTGTGTGTGTGTGTGTGTATATATATACATACATATACAATAGATCCCCCTATAAGACGGTAGATACGTTCCGTTCTTTATGAATCAATTTTGTAGGAATCATAGTTTACGGATTACGGCTGTTTGAAAGGTTTTCTTTCATAAAATTAATCGATTCTAGACTAATTCGACTCAACATTTCCAAAATACGTATATTTTTTTGAAAATAATCCGTATAAACTACGTTATAAACAAAAAATTGTAGGATTGCTTACCGAGTGTGTACCGTTCGACTACGCCCGTTGCTAAAGCTTGGTTTCGTCGCGGAACAGCGCATCAAATTGCGGCCGCGATTTCTGATATTATTTTTCTGCGAAAACTTCGTTGACCTTTGGAGACATCATTAATATAAATAATTTTTATGGCCGTTAAATAAGAAATGTTTCTTTCACAAGAAATGTATAAAATTACAGTACTAAACAGACGATAGGTCGCCTAACTCGCCGTAGCGTGACGCTAGACGGCGAAAAATATATATTTAATTATAATAAAGTTACAATAAATTAAGTTAATATATAATTATATATACAGTACCTAATTTATATATAATTATATGAACAGACGATACTAAACTCAATTTATCCGCCTAAACGTCCGTAGCGTGGCGCTACGGACGGCGGGAAAGTAGTTCGGCTGCCCGATGACGTTTTACATATTATAGGAGTTATTTTTACCGTTGTTTACAGATACTGCCACAATTTTTATAGGAATCATAACTATAGGAAACGGTTTTATAGGGGGATCTACTGTACTATCTCTTTCCTTCTCAGCAATATTAATTATAATAATATGAACACACCTGAATTCTATTTGCCGAGTTTTTTCTCTTTATTCAAACATTTTCAGCCTATTTGGATAGGCCATCCTGAGGTTTTCATTTATCGTTCCAAAATGGAACCATTCGTTCGAATTTTATTTTGATTTGAATTTTTGAAATAAGTTAACAACTTTTTGTATATTACATAAATAAAAATAAAATATAAAATATGTCATTAAACATGCTACATATTATCAAAAATTAAATAATGAATTTTACATGCATCTAAATTATAATATAACAACTTATAACCTCCAGTTCCTGTTTTATAGATTATTGAAACCCATACATTTTTCTATTTTGTATTCCATGCTGTTGGTAATGTATTTGCATCCTTTGCATTTAAACAGCGTTTCCTCATTTTACTTTTGTATATTTCTATCTTTTCCATGTCCATCACAATGGACGGTGAGTGCACCATTCTTATGATCTTTGCTTCATCCCATTTAACTATTGCTCCGTCCGACTGTGCCATGCTTGCCAATATCGTGCTGTTGAGTCCTTTATTAACACTGTATTTGTGCTCTTTTACACTCACTGCAAGGTTTCTTCTGGTCACCCCTACATATTCTTTATCAACTCCTATTTGTTGGTTTCATACGGGATAGTGTATACCCCCGCTTGCTCTTCCATTCTTATTTTGTCCTTATTGTTCCTTAATAATCTATATATGTTGGGTGCTCGTTTGTAAATTATCTTTGTGTTTTTGTATTTTCCTAGCTCATCCACAGCTTTTCTTGTTTGTTCATTGTATGTGAACTTGTTGAATGCAGTTGTGTTGTTATGTGTTGTAGTTGTAGTTTTTGTTTACCATAACTTCTGATAAGGCCTCTGATTGTGGACATTTTGTATCCTAAACTCCTTGCTACTTTTTGTATTCTATCCATTTCCTTGTTACGGTCTTGCACATTGGTGCAGTACAAGAAGGCCCTCTTGATAAGTGCCTTAAATGCAGACAGTTTATATATATAAGGGTCCTTCGACCATGAAGGTATGTATAATGGAGCATGTAAAGGTTTCAAATATACTGCCGTTCGTATATTTCCTAGTTTAAATTCCATGTCAATGTCCAAAAAATTGAGGTTTTTATGGCTTTTTTGTTCCAATTTTTAGTTTCAAACCATGGTCATTGTTGTTGATTGCAGTTAGGAAATCATTAATATGTTGGTTGTCTTTCCAAATTATCAATACATCATCCATGTATTGTTTGTATAATATGATGCTTTCGGAAAAATCTATGAGGATGTTCTTTTCCAATTTCCTTATTACTAGTTCACATAGGAGTCCTGATGTAGGACTTCCCATTGGGACCCCTTTCTTTTGTTTGTATACTATTCCATTGAATTTAAAAGAGGACTGAAAACAAACTAGGTTTGCCAAATCCTGTAGGTTTTCCAAGTATGTCTCTACCTCTTGATTTTGTTGTACCACAAATTCAATTAATTCGTTGTAGCAAGAGGATAGATTTATAGAGGGGTACAGACTCTCAAAATCCATCACCTTTCCTATTTCATCATTCATTAAATTTAAGTTTTGTATTTCTTTTACTACTTTGGTTGGATCATGGGTCACATAACCATTATCTTCCATTTTTCCTTTTATGTATTCCTTTAATCTTTTTTCCAGTGTGTACGTTGGTGTGTTACATTTTTTTACCACAGGCCTGATTTCCTTATTTTCTTTGTGTGTTTTCACGAATGCGAATATTCTAGGCATCTGTGGATTGGGGTTATGTGATTTTTTTAGGAACGTTAAGATGGGCATTAGTGGTGTTTTTTCAAGTTTTTTAACTTTCTTATCTGTGATTGCTAATATCTTTTCATCTACAATTTCACAATCTGTTTTTTTTAATATATTCCTCCATTGCTTCATTGTAGTGCTTTCTTTCCATAATAACCATTTGTTTGGCTTTATCAGCATTTGTTAACACTAATTGATTCTTGGTTAACCATTCTTTTGTGTATTTTATCTCCATTTGCTCTTTTTTCTGTACCTTTTGTATCTTCTTTTCATTGTGTATCATTTTCCGTCTGAAATAATCTTTCTCTACATTGCTCAAGCTGATCATCCCCCTCTACATTTCTGCCATTGAGGTTTGCCATATGTTTCTATCGTTCGGTACATAATTAGGCCCATTCTTTAATGTTTCTTTCACATCTTGGATTGGATCTTAAAGGAACAAACTCCAAACAAAAAAGAAAAGGATATAGCACCGTATATCCTATGGGACCATTGTGAGGTTCCAAAATATGTGAAGAATAGAATATTACAATTTAAAATATGAATAGAATGGCATCTGGGCATTTCAGTGATGTCGTTTCACTAGGATGTAAAAAAATAATAATAATTATAATAATAATAATAATAATAAATTTCAAATAATGCTCTTTAAGCTGGTGACAAAGTGTTATTGTCTTTATAGTTAATTGCTGTGTTGCTTTTGCTGGCCTTGTAAATTTTCTAACATTTCAAGGTACTTGATTTGCAGAGAATCCCATGTATGGTAAATGAGCGTCATCAATGTGTACTTGCACATCCTCATCCATGGCGTAGGCAGATAATACCATTGTTTTTTGCTCTTTATTAATCATGCTGAGATGTTTTTGTAAATGTTGTTTTAATGGATGTATTATTGCCCCAATATATTGTATATGACAACCATCTCTGTAGTTCAGAGGGATATGGAGTACACCCTGGAAGATACAGCCTATTGTGATGGTCTTTGGAATTTCTAAGAAGAGCATAGATGATGGGGTTCCTTCTAAGGAAAAGTTGTTGCCATCTGCTATTTCACGGATTATAACCATCAGGATTTTGTTATACCTCACAAACTTTTTTGGCAATGACAATTTGATCTGTCATTGCTGTTTTTTGGTCTTGATCTACATAATTGTTAATTAAACCTTTGATTAACCAGGCTAGATAAGTGTTGAATAGCTAATTAGGTGATGTAATGCAATTCTTGAATTCTTTCCTTGATAGTGGAAGAGTGTGTGAATGCTCTTTTTACAAAGACTTTAAATGCTGCTACATTTGAAGGGATTATATGAAGCTGGAGTAAAAATTGGATTGTAAGTGGTTTGCGATACCCGGATGTGGAAATACTCCCATTTTTTGTGTGTATGTTGATATCCAGAAAACATATGAAACTTTTTTATGTTCACTATTTCTGTTACCAAACTATCACAGTTATGTCATATTTACTGCTCTATCAGTTAGTTTCTGGCTTTATTGTGTACTTTTGATAAGTATACAATAAAGCAAAAAAGTATTCTCCAAGCTCTAACTGCAATTATTCTTTCAAATATGATTTTCAAATAGTTTGTTTGTTTGTTAAGTTATGGCAACACAACACTTGGGCGATCTACCTAGGAGGGGATGCCTTCTGGGAGATCTTTTTAAGGGAAACTGGCCCCTATTTAGGCATTAGAGACGTGGATAAAACCCAGAAAACTCCATGTGGCCAGCCCATCCGAGCGAGGTGCAAACCCACAACCAAACTCCCAGTGTTCAGGGTACGAAGACCGCTTGGCCACTGGTGGGCATTTTCAAATAGTTAGTAATTGATACATTTTCCAATGACACAATGGAAAGGAATACTTTCTTCACCTTTCTGTATCTCAGAATAACGGAAAAATGAGTTTCTCATCATTAGATTTGTCTGTTGATCAATATAATAGAATAACAACAAACAAATTTTATCATTTCACATATCATGTCTGCAAAGGATCAGGCATTGTATGATGTAAGCAATCGAAACTAATCTTCACTCAAATATTAGTGTGAACTAATAACATTTAGCTTGGCTAATAAAACAACCTAATCATTAAAATCTATGTTTGTTATATTATTTTTTGGAAAAAATCATAATGTTGCAAAAAGAACATGTATATGCTGCAAGTATATTTTTATCTATTTCTTTAATGTGCTTTACTAAAGAAGCATTTTCTGGATTTTCCTCTATACTTTGTGTGATAGAATTTGTTTTAAAAGGCATATGTTTTGTGTTTATTTTTAAATTTTTGTAAAAACATAATAATACATGCATTATATGCTTTCTAGCTATAATCTACCAAGAGTAATAAGTAACTACACGATCATATTTGCATTGCTGTTACAGTTTTTTAGACAAATTGCACATCTTTCTGTTTTTCAATTAACACTTAGGGCTTAAATCTGGCAGGATTTAATATATTTTCTAATTACAAAATTATTACTTCTTTTTTATCTCAATTGTTAAATTTAAATAAGTAATTTTATTAAATTTCTCACTTTCTATTTGCAAGAATAAAACTATCATTTGCATAACATCTATAAAATGTAATGCCTTCTAGTTGCTTTATTCTATTATTCAATGTCATCTCTGCTAATTTTTGGGTGATAGAACTATCCATTAGTTAATCTTTCTTTTGGGTGTATCAATTTTCTTTATATTTAAAATGATTATTTTTAATACAGAAGTCACTAATTCTATTATCCGATCTTGACAATTCTGTTGTTGTAATGCTACTTCAACTTATTCTAATTTTATGGTTATTATGCTAGCTGATATCTGTTGGCAGCTTAATCAATCTGAATGGGATATGAAATAGTGCTGAATTTAAAAAAAGAAGGAATATTGAAAAGAAATCTATGAGAGTTAATAATTAAGAAATAAATTTACGTCGGTTACAAGAAAGGAATGTTACCATTGCATAATGTTGTAAAGTATCATTACAGTGTCTAGTATTTTTGTTGAACTTTTTGCTATTATTATGGTGTTGAGGATCTTAAAATGAAAATGCATGCTGAGTACTGTTACTGTGTTTATTGGATTTTAAAATAATTTTATTATTATTGTAATGTAAATATTGGTTTATATGGCAGCTATACTTTATTTACATTTTAAAATTTTACATTATACAAATCAGTATTTTAAACTGTGGAAATTAATAATTTGAAAATAATTTGGAATAAATTTATAAATTAAATAATAATTTGGAAATCAATAATTTGATATTGTTGAGTACAAAATAGAATATGTTATCCAGCTGAAGAGGGCAAAAAATATCCCTAAAGTGCATTCTGGAACACTAAGTGTTAATTAAAAAACAGAAAGGTTGTGATTTGACTAAAAAAAAACTGTATTGACAATGCAAATATGCTTGTGTGGTTACTTATTACTCATAATAATATTTTTTTTGTCAAATACAAAACCCAAAAACAAACACTTGATAAGTTACAGGAGTCAAAAGTATTTACATAAAATTATTTTACGAGATCAAAAGATCTTGAAAAATGTTTTAAAACATTTTTCAAGATCTTTTGATTCAGTGTCAGATTCCAACTGTAGCCTGCTCTGCAAGCAGAAAAGGAGCCAGGGTGGCTCACCTTGCCTAGTCCTCACACATGGATGAGACAACACTTCTCATTTTTTTCTCAACACCTATATATGACAGTAATGTCACTACAGAACAGACTACTGATGAATGGAATAAACAAATAAAAAATAATACATAAGAACTAGGATAGCTATAAAACAGAAAAGAATGGTACAAATTTAACCTAAGTTTAGCAACGTAATATATTAATATTGTGTTTATTTACCTCTAATTTTATATATATTTTATCTCCACAAAATATCAATATTATACCAGTGATATATTAGCTATATTAATATTTGTAACAGATAACTTTATTGATATTAATAACAGTTTTTTATTTTTGATGGAAATGCTAAATCTTGCTGCTTTGTTTTCAAGTTGAATGACAAATTTTTTAGTTTTTTGACTATTCATAATTTTTATTTATAAATCTAAAGAAAAAACCTAAATTCTATAAATGTAATTAAATTTAACTAAACTATTTTAAGAAATTTCTTAAGTTAAATGGAATTAATTACAAAATTAGAAAAACATTATTAATAATTTTAAATTAATAGGGTGGTGAATACAAAACAAAGAAAGTTTATCTTGGAGAAAGAATTCATCCATCAATAAAGTAAGAGTTTAAAATTTTAAAACAATTTTTTCCATCTTTTAAACTTTGTTTTTAATTAGTCTTATATTATAAATAGCATTTCTATTCTGATTAAATATGCAGACTCAAAATAAAGAAGTCAAAAAAGTAATGTTAATATCTTTTGCTGTCTTGTTTCATTCTTCAGAAATATCTGTAAAATATGTTAAATGCTGAAGTTAAATAAAAAGTTATTGTATTTCTCACCATATGAGATGAATTCATAAATTAGCAAACTTATTTAGAAAAAATGTGTATACGTTGTATATAAAGATCATGTGATAATTATTAATCACTAATAAATAAAAAAGTATGAATTGGTTTATACTTAACAAAGTTTTTCAGGCCCTTTGCATAGTCTCTGGTCATGTGTAGCATCTGTTGCCAAATGTCTTACAGATACTGTAGAACTGTTTTCACAGATAGTGTATGGACCATTCAACTGCATGAATGGAATCTGTTGATGAGAATCATTGAACCTCATAAAAGATCCAGGACAAGTCAAAATTGCCGGGAGACATGTTGAGTGAATAGGGCAAATACTCAAGGATCTTTCAATCCCATTTCTACTGCAGCATTGCTATCATGCCAGTAGTATGGCAGTGGAGCATTGTCATGCAACAAATTTGGCTGTTCTTTACAACTGCATTTCTCTGCAAGAGAACTGCAGGTGCATAAGTGATGTTTAAGGAATTTCTTGTAATAGATTGATACTTTACATTTTTATATTTATACTATATATTGTTTTATTTATTAGTGATTGATAATTATGATATGACCCTCTTAATAAATATAAATATACATACACATACATATGCATACATATATACAGTGAATGAAGAATTCACCAAGCATTTTTCACTCAAGAAAAATCCTAATAATGGTTATGTTATACATTCTTAATTGCTGAAATTTTTAAATTGGTGTATACTTTTGGAAGTAAATTCTATTTGCATTCAGAACATCTTTTCTTAGTATAAAAATAAAATAGATTTTAGTTAGTGTTTTCAAACATAACTGAGTGAAAAATAGATTTAAAAGGAATATTTTTAAAAATTAATAATTTGACTAAGATCTTATAATATTTATTATATGAATATACAATGAAGATTTGCAAACATTTTGTACTAATTGCAAAACTTTTAAGGTTTTCTTTTTGCACTTATAATTGCATTGAAGCTATATAAGCTATTTATTATATATACAGTATATATATCATATCAGATAACTATTAAATTATATAGATATTGGCAAAAAATAATAAAACTCAGAAATTATTACTAATTGAAAGGAGGGAGAAAATTTTTTTATAAATTAAGATTTCACAATTTTATTTTTATAGGTCATCTTTAGCAATTATTGAAAAGTATTTTGAAGATTTAATTTTGGATAAACAAGATTATTTAAGCACAGAAAAAAACTGTAAGAAGATTATTTCACTTTTTAATGATGAAAATATCCTTTTTCACACCTACAATCATAATACGTGGAATCTTGCTTAATGAACATAATTCTTTCCAGAATCTTACTTGTAATGCAAAATACTCATTAAGTGAAACAATTTTTCTTATATAAATGAATGTAAAATACTATAATGCAGTCCATGCCGGAAAAATACTCAAATATTTTATGTATAACGTGTATTCAAAGAAAATTATACTGTATTTAATTATAACCTTTACATAGCCCAAGAATTTGGCATATTGTTTGGTGTGTTTATTATATAACAGGCTATGGTTGTTGATGTTTATATGTAATATGTCTGAACACAAGTTTTGAAAAATATGTGATCACAAGTGACACTAAACGTCGAGTTATAAACTTCGTAACATAACCATATGGCTGTACCGTATTCTTTAAGAAAAGTTTGGATTGACCAAACTTATGGTAGGGATACAGCGAATTGACGAACTGCGCATGTGCTAAGTCAGTCGCTATACAATCAGAAGTTGTACCAGAAGCAACAAATTGGTTGAAACATATCTTCTGACTGACAATGCTACTTCTGAACAATATAAAATTGTAAGATAAGAGTTACTTTGGTCATAAAAAAATAGAAAAATGATAAAATGAATAAATAATTATAGTGTAAAATCTGGCAATATCAGCCAATGATTTTGTGCATGCTCACAATGGACTGCTTCGTAAGCCGTAAAAAAAGTTTGTTCCTTAAAGGATATGGAAACGGCCTTATGGTATTTTATAACTATTGCTATAGATATCCAGTGTAGCAAACATTTACGAATATGGATGCAGTTACATTATGGAGTTTATAACTTGACCCTAAGATACTAGAGGAACAAGTGCTAAACACATACTGATGGAGCATGTGCACAATCCAGGACTTTCCCTCTCCAGGTCACTCATTATGCAAAATGTTGCTCATTGAGTGAGTCATTTTTTCACAATTTGTTTTGCTTGTTGTGTGAGGTGCTCATTAAGTGAGGTTTCACTGTATTGATCCTTAGTTTTTAAGTATATATAGTTATTTATTGCCATTTTCATAATTTAATTCAAATTTATATTAAGATTTAAAATAATTTTAAAATTAAATTGTATCTTAAGAACGTTTAGTAGTTAAGTTATAAGAATTTCCTATCTTATTTTTTTTTTCTTATTGCTTATATACACCCATGTCCAAAAACTAAGCATAATTGTCCAATCCAAAAATAAAACAAAAAGTAAAAGTGGAAAATTTATGTGATATTTCCAAATAATAAAAATAACCAGGATATACAGAGTTGAATGTTGCATTAAAAAGTACAAGCATATACAAAATATGCAGGCTTCATAAATACAGTAGTGTGTATTGTTTCTTAGTTTAACCATTGATGACAGTTTGATAATGTCACATAAATGATTTTAAGAGTGGAAGAATCATTGGAATGCTAGAAACAGGCCAGTTGCAGACAGAGGTATATCTAGGATTCCAAATGTGCTGCAGAGCATCATATTCAGGCTTTGGGCCAGATTTTAAAGAATGGTAGATGTTGGACATCAACTTGGAAGTGGATGTCTAAGAGTTACCATTCCTTAACAGAATCTTTGACATTAACTATGTTATAACAGAAGATTGTCTGGTAGGCAGTTCTGTGTAGAGCTGTCTATGGCCACTGGAGTTGGTTTCATGAAAAACTGTCTATAGAAGGCTTCAGACAAATAGTCTTTTTGCCAGATGCCCAATAATTGTGCTCTGTTCACTGAACAGTCCAGAGATAGTATACAGAATGATTCTCATCAGATTAGGATCTAGAGAAAGTGGGAAACCTGATAGTGCCATGAACACAGTGAAGCAAGACAAGTTTGCAGGTAATGGTATCATGGTCTAGGGTGGCATTATGTGTAATGGACACTGAATTTCATGATTTTGCAATTGAGTGCCATTACTACAAGATGAAACAGAGATGAGGTTTTGTAATTTATAAGACTTTTCTGAGATGCTATGGGCACAGAGTATAGATTTCATGGACAATAGTGCCAGTTCACATAAGATTGCACTAGTCAATGGCATTCTTGACAATGAAGATATTTGTTGCAAGAAATTGCCAGCAAGATTCTCAGACCTAAATCCCATAGAATGTGTGTGGGATAATCTGGGAGATGAATTACATTTCATCAGCATCTACCTAGAATACTCCACGAACTTCAAGATTGTTTTTATTTAAGGAAAATCTTTACTCCCAACAGAACTGATAAATGACATTTAAATCAGCATGAGCAATTGTTGTGCAGGAGGCAACATAAGCCATATTAATCATTTTCTGGTCAAAAAGATTTATAGCAATGCTTAGTGCTTCTCTTGTTTTCAGTTTGAATACTTTGGATAAAGTTTTGCTTTTTAATTGTTTTGTTACCCAAAGAATACAATATTCCACTGCTGTTCTGATCAGTGATCCCAGATATATAAGCCAAATTAATGGCCATGTTTAGTTTTTGGACATGAATTTAATATAGACTGTAACGATTTATCACTAATTATAAAAAGATTTTGTTTACTCAAGATATCTAATATTGCTTTACTATATGTTAAGTATTCTGCGACATTTATTAAAATTTATCTGATTAAAAAAGTTTTGCCAGACTAAAAACAAAACATTATTAGAACTTTATTAGACTTTTATTAATCTTTACATGTGATAGTGACAAAAATTACAGTTCTTTAATTTACTACATTTAGTCTTAATTTGATTAGGGGAGTAAAAGAACCTAGCAGAATAGTTATATTCAGAAGAAACCAAATAAATGGATTCCATAAAAGTATTTCTGCCAAGAGATTTCCAATCAGATTTTTCACAGCTTTATTTTTTTGCATTTATTTTGTTACATGTTTCAGCTATAGACTAAACAGCTGAAAATTAAATAGACCATACATTATAATAATTTCAAATTATTACAAATGCCATAAAGTTAAAACATGCTGATTCATCATTCTTGAAAAGAATAATTGTTACATTCTACAGCTGCTATGAACACCTCAATACATCACAATATAATTTATTTTATACCTACATTACAGTGATTACAAATGCATAAATTGCATTAATCTTAAATTTTAACATATGTATAATTGCTATAATAAAATAAAACTTTTCTTAAAAAATTTACATTACACACATTAATATTGTATTTTTGCACATGTTGAATTGAATGTTTGTAATTACTGTAAATGTGACTGAATAGTTACTGTATCAATGCATTTACATTGACACAGCAGTGCATTGCTTTTATAAGCCAAAAAACAAGCAATTTTCATGTAAGAGCATGCTCATATTTGTCTGGAAATATAGTATATTTCTGACATCCAAATACACCAGTTTCCTGTGCCTTTACATTTTATTCAATAAACTCACTTGTGTTTTATAAAATAAATAATAAAGTAAGTTATAAAAATGATTCTGATTAAGAATTCAGTTAAAATAAATTAATTATACATGAGCAATTATTTATTGTGACATCATCACAATGCTGGGCTGCAATTTTTAATTAATTTAATTTAAAATATATGCTCTCCACCTCAAATTAGTACTGTGGTGTCTTGCCCCTGTACATCATACTTTTCTTTTAACAATAGAACCATGCCTGTCATCTGTTAACTGCTTTCAGGGGAAAATTTTTGGATTGAAATAATGTGACTTCCAGTTTGCATTGAAGTTGTATCTTTGTTGCTAAGTGTAATATATATTGTTATAAGGAATGGGGTTTTGGTCAATATACAATGAAGTTGCATGGGTCATTGGAAAAATATCGTTCATTAATTTCTTTTATATTTGCAGAATAGGCTAGAAGTGACAAATTTTCTGTTGTTTGGAGAATTTTTGGGGATTAGGAAAAGGACAACCTAGATATAAAGAGTAAGTGCCTCGACATACAGGCACCCCTGTGCATAACATTGGATTATTTCACTTAAAATTAAATTTTCTTTAAATCAAAAATGTATCTACAATTGTCCATATTTACTTCAAATTATTTTAACCTAGAAATAGCAGGACGTTGGGCAGGTTTCTAAAGGCAATTATCATGCCACTTTTAAATGAAAATTATGTATTAATGTTAATTGCTTTTCTTAGATCAATTATAATAAACTGAAAAATAAAAAAGATTTTTAAAGAGTTTTAATTATTATCGATTTAATAGAAATTATAACAAACCGCTTTGCGTTAATAAATAAATTATGAAAAATACTATCTTCTTTTTACTCTTTTTTTAATCTTTATAATTTAAGTGTGTCGCATAAATTTAATTATAGATTCAAGTGTGTCATGACATAAAAATGGTTGAAAAACATTGCTTTGGTATTAAAACATTGTTGTTATATTCAGAAGTGCATTTAGTTATACTTGAAAAGGGCTTGTTAAATTGTAAAAAATAATGAAATAGAAGATCTTTTACTTGTGAAAATTATTTTGTAAAAAAGAGCTCCTATAAAAACAGTAAAGGTCATAATTAACTCTATAATATGGCAAATTGCATCTGCTTATATTCCATGTTCATTTTATAAAGTTTATTGATTGATTCTTTCTTATTTGGAATGAAACTAATGATAAAATACTTTTAACTTTTTGATGTTTTAAAATTATAAAACACATTATAGAAAAACATGTATTTATTAAAATTGCATTATAAAAAGTATTAATATATAATTAAATTAGCAGATGAGTCTGGCATTGCTTGGGCAAAAAGTAACGATGGCAAAGATTAAGATTATTAGATTATAGCTGATCTTACCCATTTTCACCGTGTGCAAGAATTAGGTCCCCCCTCTTCTGAGACAAATTAGAAATTTTTAGATATCTGCTTACCACACCGGGATAATGATGATTAAGACTCACTGCAACCACTAACTGGTGCATAGTACCACTAAGTGATGAATAATAAACATTTTTGTAACTCTTTCTGGGTTATTCTTCAGGTTTACTAAATTTGAAAAATAAGCTGGATCTTCCAGAATCATTCATAAATATAAATTTGAACATTAAGATGAAGAGTTTGAATAAAGTGAACTTGTGCACATGCACTTCCCGTGTCAACTTTATATACAATGAAACACCAAATATCGTTGAGAATTTTCAGAAGGGTCTAAAAATATGTTCGATTTCCCACATAAATACAAAAAAAAGCATCTAAAATAGTACAGTAGAAGCCAAGTTCTTTAGAGTAATCCTTAACTCTCTCTCTCTCTCTCTCTCCCATGGGGGGAATTTTGAAAAAATCCCTTCTTAATGTGCATTCTCATGGCATATCTTGTATACCAAATTTCAACTTTCAACTCCTAACCGTTTGGGCTCTGCGTTTATTATTATTATTATTATTATTATTATTATATTGAGTTTAGTGAGTTTTACTCGGTTCACACCGGTGGCTGTGTACTATGCCGGACCAGAGTCAAGGCATAGCAACCAAAACAAAACTAAAATTAAATAAGTGTGTCAGTGTCTGTATTCAGGAATTTCCTAACAATGTGGCATGTATTCAATATAGTGGCCTTCTGTAGTGTTATGTATGTATTTCTACTCAATTCTAATGTTCCCAGGCTTTTGTGTAGTGTGTGTGGTATCACACCTGTACAGGAAAGAACAACAGGTACAATAACTACCCTATCCATCCTC